TTTCCTTGCGGTGGAAGAAGCAATTGACTCAATGTATTTGTTCCATCTCAGGTCAGCAGTCAGCGTGAGACTGAGCAGACGCAGGAGTTGCTCTCAGGAAGTTGACTATCAGACATTTTAATGGGGGTGCAGGGAAGGATCTCTATGGTGGTTAATGGAGAGTAATTTAGTTTTTGTGGCGTTAAAGTTGACCAGCCAATTCTTGCCCCAGTTAACAACCGATTGGAGGTCCATTTCAAGACGCACGGCAAGGTTAGTTTTGTCGCCGACACTAGACTTGTTTTTGAGGCAGGAGTAAATTGTAGTGTCGTCTGCATAGATGCCGACTTGGGAATCTATAGCTTCAGGAAGGTCATTGATGAAAATAAGGAAAAGAGTGGGGCCAAGGATGGAGCCTTTGGGGCACACCTGCGTTAGTGGGATAGGAACTGGAGGAGAATCCGTTGAGAACGACCTTCAATTCTCGGTTAGACAGGAATGATTGTATTAGATCAAACAGTTGACCAGTAACACCATACCCCTGGAGCTTACGAAGAAGGTCGGCGTGCCAAACCCTATCGAATGCTTTGGAGATGTCGAGGGCCACAGCACGAGCCTCACCGTTATTTTGAAGGGCTTGGTAGACGGTTTCAGTGATGGCCGTAAGCACATCAGCTGTAGATCGGGCGTAGCGGAAACCATATTGCTTGTCTGAGAGCAGATTATGGGATGTGAGGTGATTAACCACTTCGGCATTGATTAGGGCTTCGAAGACTTTGCCGAACAGGGGAGGAGACTAATAGGACGGTAATTAGTGGGGTCAGAGGGGTCTCCAGAGTTCTTAAACACAGGAACAATGGATGAGGACTTCCAGCAGTCAGGAAAACATGATTCCTTGAGGCAGTAATTATACAGTTTAGCGAGGGCGGGTGCTAGCTCAGGCGCGCATTTCTTCAGGACAATGGCTGGTATGCCATCTCCACCACTAGCCTTGTGGGGGTCTAAGGTGGAGATAATGCCCAGTACCAATGACGGGGTTATGTGTAAGCCGCTCAGTAAGGCCTCAGTTCTAAGAGGGAAGTCTGGTATGAGAACACCGGTGGAATCGAGCGTTGAATTAAATGAGAATTTCCGAGCAAAGCATTCAGCCTTGTCGGTAGGGGAGGTCAAGACCTCGAACTGGTTGAATAAAGGAGGTATGGAGGGTTTTCGATTATTCAGGACACTCTTGCAGACTCGCCAGTAATCTTTGGAGCCAAACTTGTGAGATGCAATACGTTCCTTCATTCGAGCAGCAAATATTGACTTAGCTTCGTTGAGGACACGCTTACACTCGTTACGGGCAGAGGCAAAGAGACGTCTATTGCAGTCAGACATGTCGCTACGGAATCGGTGAAAGAAGTGATTCCTATGGGCGATGGCAGATGAGCAAGCAGCGGAGAACCAAGGGGAGGAGTGCGACTTGACCTTAAATTTCCTTGAGGGGATAAAAGCGTCGATTCCAGCTTTAACCCAGGATGAGACCTCAGAAGCACATTCTTGGAAAGGGAGTGTAAAGACATCATCCCAGGGGACGTCGCGGAGGAAGTAACGGAACGAGTCCCAATCCGCTCGTTGATAGTAGAACGAGGTTCTTGTGATGGGAGGTTCTTTGCAGGGCGTGGAGTTGAAGGAAACGTTGACAGATACCACAGCGTGATCAGAGTTGCCAAGCGGGCAGAGCTGTGTGGCGCTACAAGATTCGGGGATGGAGGTAAAACACAGGTCGAGAAGAGAGGCCTTGCCTGCCAGGTCGAGGGCAAAACGCGTGGGGAAGTCGACTATCTGCGTGAGGGATTGAGAAATTGAGTAGTTAAATGTTTGAATGCCAGCCCGGTCAGTAGTAGCATTCTCGAGCCACTTGGTGTGATGGGCATTAAAGTCACCAAACACGAATATATGAGCAAACGGGTGGAGAGAGAGAGGGCCTTGTCTATGCTGTCAGATATGCTATCAAGTATCCCACAGTCTTGAGAGGATGGAGAGCGATAGAGGAAGAAGAGATAGCTTACGGCATTGAGGAGAGATAGTCGGAGACACATGTACGACAGGTCTGGCGATTCGAGAGACAGCTCTCTGGCCAGAGGGAGATGGTCCTTGACATAGACACCAAGGCCGTGCATGTGGGTTAGAGAGTCTTTCCTGAGGAGAGGAAGGTAGCCAGGGATCGAGAGATCAGAGGAGGGAATAGACGAGACAAGGTTTGTCTCACACAGAGCCAGTATATCCGGGCAGTTTGCAGTGAGGAAAGATTCCAAACTGCAGAAGTTTGTTCTAATGCCACGGATGTTGGCGAACGAAATGTTGAGGGGTTTAGGTGATTTTTGCGGGGCTGGTTTAGGTTTACTTTTTTGATTCATTCGTGTCTTCATGTTTAGTGATTGTTGGAAGATGAGAAGGCCTGAAGTATAGAGAAGCAGATGGTTATCGACCGCAACGTGAGCAGAGAGGAGTTGGCACAGCCTGCATCATAGTGTGGCCT